TTTTCATCCATGTGTTTCCTCTTTTTCATTGTCCCATTTCTTGTCTAATACTTTCTGCCTAATCTGCCTTTACTTTCAATCATCTTTATTTTATTTTAAAAGTGTCATGCCTTTATACTCACTTCAGCAGCACATATACTAAAATTGGAACAATACAGAGAATATTAGCATGGTCCCTGCACAAGGATGACATGCAGCTTTGTGAAGCCTTCCATATTTTTAATAAATTTCAGTTTCTAAAATAAAAGTGTTCATGCTTTTCAGTGCTTTGCAGTTTTTGAAAAAATATATATATAGGAGGATCCCAACCCTTCTGCTTTTGTTTCAGCACATAGGAGAGATGACAGGTACAAACCACATCATCCAGCCATTGGTGAGATGGTGTCTTGCAAATTTTTTGCCTAGACTGACCCTGAACTGTGATCCTCCTGATCTCTGCCTCCCTAGTACCTAGGATTACAGGATTGAGCCACTGGACCTGCCCTATTTAATTTTGAATACCATCTCTACTGCTTCATAAGGAAAGACTGTTATCATTCATATGAGTTAAACTTTATCCTGTGATATTGTGCAACTATTCAGGTGATTGTATATCCTTCCTTCCCTTTTGCAATAGAGTTAATAATCATCAGATATGTGAAAGTTTTAAAGATAAGTTTGATTTGGGTCATTGAATAATTCTCGCAACTATGTGTGTGACTCCTTTTACATATTCTGGGGAACTTTACACTTTGTTCTTGGTACTATGGATTGACCCCAGGACTGAGCACATGCTGTTAACTGCTCTACCTATTCAGTTCTGACCACAGCCATTTTGCTTCTACCTTGCTTTTGAGATAGAGTCTTGCTACATTTTCCTGAGCTGACCTCACAATTATTAACCTCCAGCCTTCCCTCCAAGTAGCTTAGATTACAGGAGTGAAGCGCAATACCAAGTTCAATTTACAATTACTTTCTATAGATTAATTTCCATTTGGTTCATCGAGTAGTCTTGAGATTGTCCTTTCCACAATATCTTTGTTATGTTTTGCTACAAAGGAAATAGGAAGTCATAACTGAACTCATTGTATGTCTCCTTGCCCCATCCTAAGGATGTGTTCATAGACATGTTTTTATCTGAAGTGTTTGCCATATTGTATCATTGAAACATTCTTCAGTATTTATGGACAAATGTTCTCCTATTCCATTTGATCATGGGGAATATTGAACATTTATGAATTTCTATGGTTGTCCTAGTTTTCATCTTAACTTGAGTCTGTAAATTATGACCACATCTCCTAAGTTTCCAGGCTTATTGACATGAGGATTCAAAATATTGTGTTTTAAACACAATTTACAGATTCTCAACTACTGTCTTTTTTTTTCATTCAAGAAATTTTTAAAGGAATATTAACCTAAAGGAAGAAATAAAATGAGAAATTTTAAAATAGTGAACAAAATTATGAATGAGAAATATAACTGAAAGCTATTTTGAAGAAAAATTACAAACTAAGACATTTGACTAATCTGACTAAAAATTAGCTGTAATAAACGTTAGAAATCAAAGGGGCATAAGAAATGGTAAGAACCTACTATGTATACGTTTTCCCATATGCCTAAAATGGGCTACTTTCATTTTTTAATTAATTTATTCATTATACATTTTTGGGTCATTTCTTCCCCCTACCCACCCGTCCCCACCTGCCAACACAATCTCCCTCCCACCTCCCCTCACTTCTTCACCTCCAGGCAGAACCTGTTCTGCCCTTATCTCTAATTTTGTTGAAGAGAAGACATAAGCATAATAAGGAAGACAAAGCGTTTTTGCTAGTTAAGGATAGCTATACAGAAAGATTCCTAGCATTGCTTTCATGTACAAATGTGTTACAACCCAACTTGATTCATCTCTAACTGATCTTTACACTGGTTCCTGATCCCTTATCATGTTTACCTCTGTCGCTTTCAGGTTTCTGCGTTAGCTCTTCTGGAGTGGGGACATCAAACGCTTTCATGTTTTGGGTTTTTTACCTATCCCCATACCTCCTGTATGTGCTCTCCCCTTGTCATGTGACCCAATTCCAACCACATTGTTGTAAATTTCCAGGATCATTGGCGTGAGTAATCAAAACATCGTGTTTTAAAAAACATTTACAGATTCTCAACTACTGTCTTTCAACAGCTTATTTTTAACATGAGCCTTTCTACCGATCAGGGTACAGCCTCTACAGAGCTTCATTCATTTATTGTTCTTCATAAGGAATTTACTCTGGACCTTGTGTTTATCTCCCTATGAAGGGCAATGTAATGTCTATCTCTGTGGACCTATTCTAGTGCTGTCTCCTTCCTTTTTCAATTTCTGTTTAGATTTCACTTTGCTGTAAATTTTCTAATATTGTCTCTTCAAATTTTCTTATTTAGAATTTATAATTATTTCCTGGATAGACATTCCATAGGCCTTTGTTGATGCATTTTTTTCAATAACAGGTTACTACCAATTGCTTTCATTTTGAAAATACTGAAAAATTAGTCTTTTGTTATTCATTCATTCAAAACTCATCCTAATGACATCAAGATCAAGTGCTCTGTACAATGCTTCTAGTAGCCTTAATGCATTTCTCTGTAAATTTCCTTTTATCGTGTAAAAACAGCAGAGTTTAAGGTCTAACGGAGTGATAATAATTCCTGGCAATTGGTTTTGCTCCTGATCCATAATGAACTTTTTTTCACTAAGTAGTTACTGCAAATTGGTTCTATTTTGAATGTATGGAAAAATCAGTCCTGTTACCTGGGGAGAGGCTTCCTTCTTAGAACTGCTCCCTGATCTGAGGAGCTCTTGGTTCTCAACACCCCATGTGGATTCCAAAACTTCCTCATGAAATGTTGTCTGTAGATGTAGGCTGAGTTTCCCAGGTCAAGGAGACTGTTTTCAGAAAACAACCTCTTTCCAGACCACAGAAGTGATTTTCCAATATGTTTTTAAAAATGATTTGTAGAGATCACCTAGTGAGAAAAGTCCACTTTAGAAGGGCCTTGTGGAGAAAGCAACAAGACCAAGAGACCTGAGGTATTACCACTTGTTGCAATTAGAGGGTAAAGTAGAGGGCTCCTCGCTAACCATCTCCTGAACTCAAAGTGGTCTGTATTTACTTACTTGATTGATACAGTTGGGTTTAGGGTTCTGTTACTTATTTTCTAATACATATTCAGGTTTCTTTCCTTTGTTCCACTTTTTCAAATTACTCTTTCTGATTTAAATTCTAGCTCAACTTTTTTATCCCTTCGTCCCTGTCTTTCCATGTGTGTTTATCTATGTATCTACTTATATGTCTATTGAACTATCTTTGATCTATCTAAATATCATCTGTCTGTCTTAAATCTCTCTATATTGGTCAAAAGACCATAGTTCCTTTTCATTTGTCATTTACTTATGTCTCCCAGGATCTAACATGAGATCTGTTATTATCTGTAAACCCAACAAAAAGCATTGCATTGACAAGATTGTAAGAGGGATAAACCATACAGAAGCAAAACCATATGGAATATTTTATATCGACTATTGGAGAGAAGATTTTGCAAGTTTCCAGTTTTCTGAGGGATAAGCTCACCTTATGTACAAAAGCATGACTTTTCAATTTTCTTGCTCTAGAAGGAAAGTAATCAATGTTTTTGGTAAATTCACACATGTGAGTAGTGTGTTTGATTCCAATTTGTCAACATTGCACACGGTCTTCTTAAAGCTCAAAAGTACTAAATATACTTCCCTGTAAATTTCTAGGTGAGACTGGGCCAAAAGAATTCCCAATTGGGATAGAGAGAGAAGGAGGAAGGTTGAGGCCTTTGATATTTTTAATCATGGTGACACACTAAGAAGCTTACAGAAAGCTCCAGCTTACATCTGGTACAGCAGCAGTGGCCCCATGCCACCTACTGAAACCATAATCTCCTTGTGATATTGGGGCCTGCCATGCAGGCTAAGGACAGCCCTGATAGCTCAATGGAAAAGCAGGGAGTTCCTGATTCATGCTGTGATTTCAGGCCAATGCACCAATGCATGAATTGGGAGATCTGTGTGGACTGACAACCTCCACTTAGCCTTGCTGAATTAAGTATTTAGCCAGAAGGTCCTGGTTCCAAGTTCTGGTCTCACTGAGTCAGATAATGAACTTCACAGACAATGAGAGTGACCAAAGTGGGAGCATTTACTGAGATCAAAAAACATAAAATGGGAGGAGTAGAGCCCCCCAGCATTGGGAGGGGCAGTTTCAGGAGAGAGTGAAGAAAGGCAGAAATACCTGAAGCACAGAAGGGCCAAGGAAAAGACTGAGCAGTGGCAGATGTGTGTTTAAGATCTTTTATCTACTTTTTTGGTATACTTTGGGGGCAGAACTTGAAAGTCCCAGGATATAGATTTCTGATCGTTGGGCCTCCAATGTTTTTTCCTCTTGGGTCTTGGTATGTTGTTTCTTTCCTTCTCCCTTAACTGTCTTTCTATTTTTTCCCAGTACTGGTTCTTGTGATTAGCTACTTACATAAGAAAAATCTATACCTTAATTGTCAACTAGGTTGAGAACCGAGCATATACACAGGTGTACTTAACAAGATGATGGCCCAAACCTTTGAGTTAGATAGAGCAGAGGTTAGAAATTTCAAACAGAGACCCTATCAGTTAGAGCAGGAACTGATTGTTTATACAGGTAATCTTTCTCTCATCTAACAAGACAATGACACTAAACCCAGGAGATCATCTAGGTAATGTAATATAATGTAGAGTGTCAGGTTTGAATTCTACCTTCTCTGTATTCTAAGGTTCTCAAATGTCCCTGGAATCCAGTCTCTGGAAGTGCCACATCTGTGCTTGAAACACAGAAGAGCTGGACATTCTACCACACTCCCTCATACTGGACTGTCAATCACTATTGCCTCACAAGCTCCATTAATATTAATTCCACAAAGTAATCTGTTCATGTATCCTTGGACGCCTTGATTACAAAATTAAAAATATATAAATCATCACTAAGATAATGCTTGTAAGTGAACTGATTTTTGGAATTTTCCTCACATCTGAAATTGTCCTTGGGTTTGGGGGGAACACATTGCTCTTCATGTTATGTGTGTACACCATCTTGTTTCAAAGACATCTGAAGAAGCCCATAGATGTGATCTTCACACACCTGTCACTGGTCAATGTTTTGACCATCATGTTCAGGTTAATACCAGACACCATGTCATCCTTTGGAGGTGGACATTTGTTTGATGATGTGGGTTGCAAGGCAGTTTTGTACAGCTACAGAGTTACCCGGGGTCTTTCCATCTGCACTACCTCTCTCCTGACTGCATTTCAAGCTATTACCATTAGCCCCAGGAACTCAAAGTGGGTGTGGCTTAAATCTAAACTCTCCTCCTGCGTTTTCCCTTCTTTCCTTTTCTTCTGGATCATCAACATGCTGATCTATATCCACATCATTGAAACTTTAACATCCAGTAGCAATTCCACTATGGTTGGTTCTGGATATTCTCACACATACTGTACAAAGAGTGGGCATAATCAACTTTCATATGTATTTTTAAGTGTCATGGTGATGCACGATGTGCTCTTTGTGACCCTCATGATCTGGAGCAGTCTCTACATGGTGCATCTCCTCCACAGACACCACAGGAGAGCCCAGCATGTTCACAGCACCAGACTGTCTTCCCAACCATCTCCTGAAAACAAAGCCACCCACAGCATACTTTTGCTGGTTAGTTGCTTTGTGTTCTTTTATTGCTCAAATAATTTCATTACCTTTTACTTATTCTTTAGGCCTGGAAAAACACCAACATTTGAGAGGATTACTGGAATTGTTGCATCCTGCTATCCAACCATTTGTCCTTTTGTTCTGATTAAGAACATGAAAATTATTTCTGGGTGTAACTCTCCCATTTCAGAGATAAAATGCATCTTCTGTTGAAGAGGACTCAATAACTTTTCTGACACCCCAGCGTTCCTTTAGCCAAAGACAAGTTTTCTTTATGATTTATGTGAGAGAAGACAACTATGTTGCTGTTTTTTTAATGGTTGTTCTGGGTGATGGTACATTGTGGCATTTACAGAAGTTCTTACAATATATGAAAGATCTCATATTTTAATTCACCCCTACACTGCTCTTCTTTATCCACACCTCCATTCCAGGAATACTTTCAACAGGTATCACTTTTACATTTACATACATGTGTATACATTTTTTGCATCAGATTTTCCCTCCTACCCCTTTTCTCTACCAACCTCTCCCTTCCCACTGTAGCAACTCCACCCTCCTCATCAGGACCTGTTCCACCCTCCTATTCTCTGAATTTGTAGAAGAAAAAAGAAAAAATTACATTTTTGCTTGTTTGTGATAAAGGTAACAACAGAGAGAGTTTCCTTGTGATATTTCCATGAATATATGTGTTATATCCCCAATTGCTTCATCTCTATTTTTCTCCATTTTGCTGTATTCCCTTTCTTATGATGTTTCAGTAGGTTTAAAAATTAAGCCACATGTTCTCTCTCATATGTGGAATATAGACCTAATATAGATACAGCAATGTTAAGTAAAATTTGCCACACTAAGGGGAGGTCATATAAAAGAGGGGCACAGTAAAAGAAGGAAACTAAGAAGATGAATAAGGTTGATATACTCACTTCAAAAGAATGAATATAAAATTCTTTTTTTTTTTTCAAATTTCATTTTTATTGTTCCAGTTCAATTATCATTTTACACAGATTTTTTTTCATTTTTCTTTTATTATTCATATGTGCATACAAGGCTTGGTTATTTCTCCCCCTGCCCCACCCCCTCCCTTACCACCCACTCCCTCCCCTCCCCCCCTCAATACCCAGCAGAAACTATTTTGCCCTTATCTCTAATTTTGTTGTAGAGAGAGTATAAGCAATAATAGGAAGGAACAAGGGGTTTTGCTGGTTGAGATAAGGATAGCTATACAGGGCATTGACTCACATTGATTTCCTGTGCGTGGTGTTACCTTCTAGGTTAATTCTTTTTGATCTAACCTTTTCTCTAGTTCCTGGTCCCCTTTTCCTATTGGCCTCAGTTGCTTTAAGGTATCTGCTTTAGTTTCTCTGCATTAAGGGCAACAAATGCTAGCTAGTTTTTTAGGTGTCTTACCTATCCTCACCCCTCCCTTGTGTGCTCTCGCTTTTATCATGTGCTCATAGTCCAATCCCCTTGTTGTGTTTGCCCTTGATCTAATGTCCACATATGAGGGAGAACATACGATTTTTGGTCTTTTGGCCAGGCTAACCTCACTCAGAATGATGTTCTCCAATTCCATCCATTTACCAGCGAATGATAACATTTCGTTCTTCTTCATGGCTGCATAAAATTCCATTGTGTATAGATACCACATTTTCTTAATCCATTCGTCAGTGCTGGGGCATCTTGGCTGTTTCCATAACTTGGCTATTGTGAATAGTGCCGCAATAAACATGGATGTGCAGGTGCCTCTGGAGTAACAGTCTTTTGGGTATATCCCCAAGAGTGGTATTGCTGGATCAAATGGTAGATCGATGTCCAGCTTTTTAAGTAGCCTCCAAATTTTTTTCCAGAGTGGTTGTACTAGTCTACATTCCCACCAACAGTGTAAGAGGGTTCCTTTTTCCCCGCATCCTCGCCAACACCTGTTGTTGGTGGTGTTGCTGATGATGGCTATTCTAACAGGGGTGAGGTGGAATCTTAGTGTGGTTTTAATTTGCATTTCCTTTATTGCTAGAGATGGTGAGCATTTTTTCATGTGTTTTTGGCCATTTGAATTTCTTCTTTTGAGAAAGTTCTGTTTAGTTCACTTGCCCATTTCTTTATTGGTTCATTAGTTTTGGGAGAATTTAGTTTTTTAAGTTCCCTGTATATTCTGGTTATCAGTCCTTTGTCTGATGTATAGTTGGCAAATATTTTCTCCCACTCTGTGGGTGTTCTCTTCAGTTTAGAGACCATTTCTTTTGATGAACAGAAGCTTTTTAGTTTTATGAGGTCCCATTTATCTATGCTATCTCTTAGTTGCTGTGCTGCTGGGGTTTCATTGAGAAAGTTCTTACCTATACCTACTAACTCCAGAGTATTTCCTACTCTTTCTTGTATCAACTTAAGAGTTTGGGGTCTGATATTAAGATCCTTGATCCATTTTGAGTTAATCTTGGTATAGGGTGATATACATGGATCTAGTTTCAGTTTTTTGCAGACTGCTAACCAGTTTTCCCAGCAGTTTTTGTTGAAGAGGCTGCTATTTCTCCATCGTATATTTTTAGCTCCTTTGTCAAAGATAAGTTGCTTATTGTTGTGTGGCTTCATATCTGGTCCTCTATTCTGTTCCACTGGTCTTCATGTCTGTTTTTGTGCCAGTACCATGCTGTTTTTATTGTTATTGCTTTGTAATATAGTTTGAAGTCAGGTATTGTGATACCTCCTGCATTGTTCTTTTGACTATTGCCTTGGCTATTCGTGGCCTCTTGTGTTTCCATATAAATTTAACAGTAGATTTTTCAATCTCTTTAATGAATGTCATTGGAATTTTGATGGGAATTGCATTAAACATGTAGATTACTTTGGGGAGTATCGACATTTTTACTATGTTGATTCTACCAATCCATGAGCATGGGAGATCTCTCCACTTTCTATAGTCTTCCTCAATCTCTTTCTTCAGAAGTGTATAGTTTTCCTTGTAGAGGTCTTTCACATCTTTTGTTAGGTTTACACCTAGGTATTTGATTTTTTTGAGGCTATTGTAAATGGAATTGTTTTCATACATTCTTTTTCAGTTTGCTCATTGTTAGTGTATAGAAATGCTAATGATTTTTCTATGTTGATTTTATATCCTGCTACCTTGCTATAGCTATTGATGATGTCTAGAAGCTTCTGAGTAGAGTTTTTTGGGTCTTTAAGGTATAGGATCATGTCGTCTGCAAATAGGGATATTTTGACAGTTTCTTTACCTATTTGTATTCCTTTTATTCCTTCTTCTTGCCTAATTGCTCTGGCTAGGAATTCCAGTACTATGTTGAATAGGAGTGGAGATAGTGGGCATCCTTGTCTGGTTCCTGATTTTAGAGGGAATGGTTTTAGTTTTTCTCCGTTAAGTATAATGCTGGCTGTAGGTTTGTCATATATAGCTTTTATAATGTTGAGGAACTTTCCTTCTATTCCTAGTTTTCTTAGAGCTTTTATCATGAAATGGTGTTGGATCTTATCAAAGGCTTTTTCTGCATCTATTGAGATGATCAAGTGGTTTTTGTCTTTGCTTCTGTTAATGTGGTTTATTACGTTTATTGATTTTCGTATGTTGAACCACCCCTGCATCCCTGGGATGAAGCCTACTTGGTCGTGGTGAATAATCTTTTTGATGTGTTGCTGAATTCGTTTGCCATTATTTTGTTGAGGATTTTTGCATCAATGTTCATTAAGGAGATTGGCCTATAGTTCTCCTTTTTGGAGGTGTCTTTGCCTGGTTTTGGGATAAGTGTAATACTGGCTTCATAAAATGTGTTTGGCAGTTTTCCTTCCCTTTCTATTTCATGGAACAGTTTAAGGAGGGTTGGTATCAGTTCTTCTTTAAAGGTCTGATAGAATTCAGCAGAGAATCCATCAGGTCCTGGACTTTTCTTTTTGGGGAGACTCTTGATTGCTGCTTCAATTTCATTTTGTGTTATAGGTCTATTCAGGTGATTAATTTCCTCTTGGTTCAGTTTTGGATGATCATATGTATCTAGAAATCTGTCCATTTCTTTTAGATTTTCAAATTTATTTGAATATAGGTTCTCAAAGTAGTCTCTGATGATTTCCTGGACTTCCATGGTGTTTGTTGTTATCTCCCCTTTTGCATTCCTGATTCTACTAATTTGGGTTTTTTCTCTCCTCATTTTAGTCAGGTTTGCCAGGGGTCTATCGATCTTGTTTATTTTTTCAAAGAACCAACTTTTTGTTTCATTAATTCTTTGTATGGTTTTTTTGGTTTCTATTTCGTTGATTTCAGCTCTTATTTTTATTATTTCTCTCCTTCTATTTGTTTTGGGATTTGCTTGTTCTTGTTTTTCTAGGAGTTTGAGATGTATCATTAGGTCATTGATTTGGGATCTTTCAATCTTTTTAATATATGCACTCATGGCTATAAACTTTCCTCTCAGACTGCCTTAGCTGTGTCCCATAGGTTCCGGTAGGTTGTGTTTTCATTTTCATTGACTTCCAGGAACTTTTTAATTTCCTCTTTTATTGCATCGATGATCCATTCTTCATTAAGTAATGAGTTATTTAGTTTCCAGCTGTTTGCATGTTTTTTGTCTTTACTTTTGTTGTTGAGTTCTACTTTTACTGCATTGTGGTCAGATAGTATGCATGGTATTATTTCTATTTTCTTATATTTGCTGAGGCTTGCTTTGTGCCCTAGGATATGATCTATTTTGGAGAAGGTTCCATGGGCTGCTGAGAAGAATGTATATTGTGTAGAGGTTGGATGAAATGTTCTGTAGACATCTACTAGGTCCATTTGATCTATTGCATATTTTAGATCTTGGATTTCTTTATTGAGTTTTTGTTTGGATGACCTATCTATTGATGATAATGGAGTGTTAAAGTCTCCCACAACCACTGTGTTGGCGTTTATATATGCTTTTAGGTCTTTCAGGGTATGTTTGATGAAATTGGGTGCGTTGACATTGGGTGCGTACAGATTGATGATTATTATTTCCTTTTGGTCTATTTCCCCTTTTATTAGTATGGAATGTCCTTCTTTATCTCGTTTGATCAATGTAGGTTTGAAGTCTACTTTGTCAGAGATAAGTATTGCTACTCCTGCTTGTTTTCGGGGGCCATTGGCTTGGTAAATCTTCTTCCAGCCTTTCATCCTAAGCATATGCTTATTTCTGTCGGTGAGATGAGTCTCCTGTAAGCAACAAATTGTTGGATCTTCTTTTTTAATCCAT